AAGTAACTTAATTAGTAATAATAATGAGATTTTAGTAAAATTTTGAGTGAAATTTTTTAGTATTTTGATTGTTAGGTTCCTTACTACACTTTTCCTATCTAAGTTTAGAGGGGGTGACTCAAAGAAGTAGCTTAGTTTCCGTTTTGTATACAACCAAAAACGTTTTGTTTGTAAGAGGTAAGTAATAAGTAAATCTAGTAAGTAATAAGATCAAAGACCTGACCGAACTTATCCAGTTGTGCTTCAATTTAATTACTCGGCAATCTGGCTCCCCAGTGGGTCCGCTACGAATCAATAGAACACTTTACAAGAAAGGTCAATACACTCCGTACAATCTTCAGTAAAATAAAATAACTCGATTCAAAAGGTTTGAATCATCCCTTCATAGCGATCACTCATCTGACTAGTCACAGTGATCGATATATTTATGGGACTAGATCAAAGGGAGCCTGTGGTCCCCTTGCACAGATCAAAGGGGCCTGTGGTCCCCTTGCCTGAGGTACGGTAAGGTTTTCGTTCGCAATGGGTTAAGTTGTAGGCAAGCCCCAGCAATGTAGTCTCGCAGCTTTGCGTTCAGGACCGAAGACCAGGATCTCGCGAACGGACCTCCTCTTCTACTTAAGGAAGAATGCAACATTTAAAGGCACATTCCGCGAAAAAATAAGGCTATGACCTCTCAAATGTGTCGGACGATCCGGAAGGCGATTTTTGAGGCTGCGCTACTTTCAAAATGTGAAAAACGGCAAGAACTCCGCTAGAAGCTGGCTAATTAGGCCCATGGACACCCCTTAGGCCCATGCCGACCCTCACCGCTGCTAGCTACTAGCTAGTAGCCACTATGTTATCTTTCTCTATAACATTTCGGACTGCTTTTCTGCTGCTTTTCTCCGCTAATCAGATACTTAGCACTTTTTTGTGCCTATTTGAGTTCCGTTTCCCGCAATTTGCGGTCGCGAACTGTGCCTTTAAGGAAGATGCACATTCCAGTGCTCTTACAAAGAGTCCCGCTTTTGATCCCTTTAATATACTAATCATAGCACCAAACGACTGTTTCTCCCTCCTCGTCAATTTTCAGGGAGTTAACTCCTTGTTCTTGTTTTTTGATTGCACATCTGGATAATGGGGTTTCCCAGTTGTCTTGTCTATAACAGCGGGCCCTAGAGCTTAATTCAATAAATATTTGAGTAAGTGAACCGTATAAAACTTCACATGAGTCAGCAGCTTTCTGGTAATTCATGCTGATGGGCGGGAAATCTTCACGCCCCTGAGGAGTTCGCAGCGTGCTGTGAATCATTCAAGCTGGCTCATGGACTCTATAAGTCTTGGGCAATTCAGCTTTCATGAGATGAGCTCATTCTTTACTATTTCACAGCTCAAAGCACTTCTGAGATTGAGTTAATCCTTCAACCCTTCTCTGTTTCAGACTTTCGCCATTACAATGGTTACTAGATCGGCGACAACTGTCATACCAGAAACTGTCGAGAGATTTCGTCTGCCGACAATTTTGGCCACTCTGCCAATGGCCCATCCATATATTTTTGCCTCGGGTTGCATTTTCACGTCTCGTAACAGCGAGTATAAAACGACCTACGCATGTCAACTTTTACATGAGAATCTACCTGAGACAATACAGCTCAAAAAACAGCGACCCTACAGGCGTCCTTTCTTAGGAGTGCACGAATCAACTGCGGGTTTTTCGTGATTGCCTCATTATACGATCTTGCTTTCGATATTAGCTACTTGAGTATCGTCGATAAACCACAGGTAATATTCCTTCGAGATTGTATGGCCCATTCACCTTTATGAGGCACTCCCACTTGCAGATTACCGTACAAGAATGCTCCGCTATACGAAACTTCGTTTATAACCCCATTGCCACTCAGGCTTTCGTCGACGCCCTTGAGCGATTTCTCATGGCCTTCTTCAATTATGACATGTCCTTATTTAGGTGCGTTTGTTCAATTTCTTAGAGAGCTCCTGAAAACCTGGGATAATTCAATCTTTTTGAGAGTGGCCAAATAAGATTGCTTTTTCAGCGTTTTCGTTCTGTACAGCCTATTTCCACTGTTTTGTATAGCAATGGCCGTGTACAACACATTCATTACAACGTCACTACTGAAGACTGATGACATTTGCGCTACAGTGCGACGTACAAGCTGGACCAATATAATCCTCATCGTCATCCAGTGGTGAATGTACTACAATTTACGACAGAGCAATAGACTGCTGACATTTGGTGGACAATAGGCTGTGAAAAGTACATGAGTCGGGGGCTGACAGCATCAACGAAACCGATTCTTACGGAATTCGAAGATGTCCTTATGAGGTAAAGTTGGGCGCTGTTTAGCGACGGGGGGGGGCATTTTGTACTAACATTGCTTCCCTAGTTCCGGTTTACGAATCTCACCATGGTAAAACTTGTGAACGCCTGTGAAGCTGGAGTAAGATCGTCTAGCCACCATCCTAAAACGTGTCAACTCGAGAAAAGGCTACCTAGATGGGTCGGCACATCTATGAAAAGGAAGAATGCCCCCGTCGACACTGCGCCGTAAAGTTTTGGTGACCAGCACATAATCGACCCCACGGGATATCCTGTGCATCGGATGTGGAGCGTTACATACCACTAGCGACATCACGCACGCTGGCAGAGTATTTCCTCGCTAGTTGACTAGACAGACACAGGTATCGAGAGAGCTAGCCGAAATGAGAGACGCAGAGACGCTCCGAAACACTGCTATAATAGTGGATTCACAATAAGTCCTGGTGCAAGCGGGTGATGCTGTGTACATCACCCCGCTTGCAACGCCTATTTCGGTGCACTCGTCACAACTAGGCAATAGCACCTGCTCCTCTCGCACATTAGGCCTCCGTCAGGATTTCTTTTCTGGTCCCCTCGGCCGGATAGCTGTCAGAAAAGCTTGAAATAATTAGTGAAGATAGTAACGTGACGTAGGGGGTCGCACGCAAAGGCTTGATTTGTAAAAAAAGAGGGGGGGTCGTGTATTGCAAATTTTCTCTCAACCGCAGGAAGTGCACTATGCACAGATCACAGATCAGTACTCAGTTACAAATCATACTGCACTTGAAGAATACTGATAACTTCCTGGCCGTTCATGGATGAAATTAATGAGGGTTAGAGCGAGAAGCTGACGAAGCGAACAAATATTGCTTTCGTAGTTCAAAATAAAAACGGTGAAACTTTCTCTGAAAGCTTCCCTTTCTTGTTCATGTTGAACTCACCATCGAAGTATGACTAAGGAGGCTGTTCAATGGGATCTCACATGACCAGTGTAAAATCGTAGTAAATACTTACAATAATAATAACCATAGCAACAAAGCGTATTTTAGGGGTTCCGCACTGATCGCTGCCTTTCTGTACATGACTATATGGATTAAAGTTCGGCGTCAATGTAAAGTCGACATAACATCAGCTAATAGCGATGATCCCCATCCAGCAATAATGGTATGTTTTACTTTTATTCTTTCTGTACATAGAAGCAAGCCTCTCAGCAGGTGGACCACACATTCGAAGGATCCCTTGCAAACGATAGGGCGTGTGATACGACTCGCACTGGAGCGCAGCCAGGCCTGCTATTTGACAACATTGATACGGATAAGTGGCTAGCGATAAGACGATTCTGACTAGAGAGAAACCCACTACAACTGGCGGGAAATCTGCTTCAAGCCGCTCCACCGTCCGACGAACTATCAGTTGCAGAAAACATGACTGTACTCCACGAATAGCAGAAAAGTGCAATCGCTTGCGTAGCCTAGGCAGGGTATGGCATCGTTGGCAGAATCCCATCAGGAGGGACGAGGTCGTACCTGCTTGCTGGGGAGGGCGTACTGACACTGCCATTCCACACATCACGATGCTGTAGCCTAAACGTGAACAGCAGGATGTGTCCATTTTGTGGCTCAGCAGGAAGTGGGCTCGCGAAGACATGAGACTAGGACAAGTCGTACGTTGTGGAACTCCAACGAGGGGATGGCATTTGGTCGCTGGAGCAGGGGACGGATCGTATTCGGCATTGAGAAAGTGTTTTCAGTTGTTGACGTTCCTAGGTTTTCCTGTTGCAAAAGCGTTTTACAGACCACTCCTCCTCCCTCCCCCCCCCCCCTCCATTCCCCTCCGAGTGGTTGGAGTTGGTTGCATCAGAGTAAGAAAGTTATG